TTCTGCAAGTGACTGCAGCAGCGGTAGCCGGTTTTTGAGTTGACAGCAAGAAATTGTGCACACCACGCTTGTCACAGCTTATCCTCCTCCACGGGGTCAGCTAGTGATTGCAGCAGCAGCCAGTTGCAGCGCAGGTACACCGGCTCCCACCAGTACTCCAGCAGCAACCTGTGCACCCACGGTAGCCGCTCCAAAAACTTCTCAGGCTTGCCCGGACTTGCCCACCTGGGATGGGGGCAGTGGGGGCGAAGAGATGTGATATGCGGAAGGCCAGGCCAGGATGTTGAGAGGAAAAGGTTTAAGCATGCAGTGAAGCGGGTGGGTTGAAGGAAGTATAAATGGGGGCAGTCGAAAAGGGGCCGGGAGGAGATGGGAGAGACACACACGTGTATGCATGTGTGCGCACACACGAGCACACATGCAAGCACATATGCAATCTTGCAAACCACATGCACACACACATGCATGAACGCTGCGCATGCACACATGCACACACATGCCACATGCACGCATGTGCATGCGCACACATGCCCGTGCATGCACTTGCATCCCACCAACCGTCCGCACTGAAGCAGCACACAGCCTACCTCTCGAGACCATGGAAGATCCAGGGAAGGCGAGTGGAAGCGAGGAAGAATCCCACGTGGCTTTCCGCCTCCACCAGAATGCTCTCTGCCTCCGTGGGCATGAACGCATGCCGCACCCTCGCTGGTGGTTGGGGAGATGCAGAAGGGGTGGGAAGGGGAGGAGAGGAGAGAATTGGAGAGGAGAGGAGAGGAGAGGAGAGGAGAGGAGAGGAGAGGAGAGGACAGGAGAGGACAGGAAGGGAGACAACGGAGGAGGACTGAGGGGCAGGAAGGGGGGAGAACGAACTAGGAAATCATTGCACTGACTGCAAATTCAGAACCATCTCACTGTGCAAGCCTTATTGCAGTACTCGTTCCACCTGTACCAGCCTGAACCACCAGAACAAACCCACTCAGTATCTAACCATACACTCCTTGCGCCATCCACTCCATTCCGCCATCTAACCATTCAGGTGTCCACCCCGACCCGTTTCAACACCATACGAACTACTGTTGTTCCGTATAATGACAGCATGGCAGTGGTGTTTGAACTTTAAAAAGCTTCTTCTTCCTTTGACCTTCCTCTGCCTTTCCTCCACCTTCCTACTACCCCTCCCCATCCTCCCCCCTCATCCTTCCCCCACCACGTCACGTACAAGGGTAGAAGTCCATTTCAGCATCGAATTGCCGGTGGAAGATGCGCGACAGCTGAGTCAGCTTCTGCCGCAACACCTCTGAGGGACCGAGGGAGGATGAATGAGGCAGGTGAAGCGACATGGGGGAAAGGGGCAGGTGAGGGCGGTTGGGGATAGATAAGAGGGAAGTATGACCAAACAACAGGAAGTCAAGACGTACAAGCCACACGCACAGCAAACTGCCTGTTTGATTCCCCCTGGCGCAACGCCGCCAATGCTTCTCCTTCCTTCGCCTTCGTGTTCCCTTCCCCGCACCTCCCTCCCTCCCTCCCTCCCTCCCTCCCTCCCTCCCTCCCTCCCTCCCTCCCTCCCTCCCTCCCTCCCTCCCTCCCTCCCTCCCTCCCTCCCTCCCTCCCTCCCTCCCTCCCTCCCTCCCTCCCTCCCTCCCTCCCTCCCTCCCTCCCTCCCTCCCTCCCTCCCTCCCTCCCTCCCTCCCTCCCTCCCTCCCTCCCTCCCTCCCTCCCTCCCTCCCTCCCTCCCTCCCTCCCTCCCTCCCTCCCTCCCTCCCTCCCTCCCTCCCTCCCTCCCTCCCTCCCTCCCTCCCTCCCTCCCTCCCTCCCTCCCTCCCTCCCTCCCTCCCTCCCTCCCTCCCTCCCTCCCTCCCTCCCTCCCTCCCTCCCTCCCTCCCTCCCTCCCTCCCTCCCTCCCTCCCTCCCTCCCTCCCTCCCTCCCTCCCTCCCTCCCTCCCTCCCTCCCTCCCTCCCTCCCTCCCTCCCTCCCTCCCTCCCTCCCTCCCTCCCTCCCTCCCTCCCTCCCTCCCTCCCTCCCTCCCTCCCTCCCTCCCTCCCTCCCTCCCTCCCTCCCTCCCTCCCTTCCCACAAAGCCCTCGAAGCAAGGCACGCACCAGCGACGTTGGGGCGGTCGTCCATCTGCGCGTGGTCAAAGTCAGCGCGCATGTGCTTCACCTCGTCCATCAGCTCTATGGCCTGGAACAGCGGCGCTGATACCTCGTTCGGGGGCCGCTCTGAGAGGTAGACGGAGGAAAGGGGAGGATCGGGGAGAGGGGGAGGGGGAGGGGGGGGGGGGGGGTGTGGGGTGTATGCGGAGAGGATTTGACGAGAGAGAGTCCTGGAAATCTGACCTGTAGAGCACATATGTGTGCGCTCAAGTGTGCATCTGTGTGTGTGTGTTCCTATGATGGCAGACACGCCTTTATCAACCACCTGTGGGCTTCCAGTGACTCTGCAAGGGACCCTAAGCACCTGCCCGCCTTTGGACCTACCCTTTACAACAGTGAGCAGTCCTGGCCTCGCTTGCAACCATGCATCCGTGCACCCTTGCACCCTGCACATCACCACTTTCCGCCCCACCTTTGATTCTCTCGGTAAGGGCGGGCAGAAGCAGCTTGTCACGGTGTTCCAGATGGGAGCGCACGAGAGGGTAGAAGCAGCTGTCGAACCACGAGTAGAAGATCGCCACCTGGCACAGGATGACGCGTGGTGGTCGTGATGGTGACACAACAAGAATACGAGCATCGTCTGTGTGAATGGGTGTGTGAATAATCTCTGAGCCATGTAAGCGAGGCTGTACTTCACCCTATCCCAACCCACTCTGCCCCAACCCACCTCACCTCATCTCACCTCACCTCACCTCACCTCATCTTCCCCCAACTCCCGGCTCGCCCTGTGCGGGATGATCGGGGCATGTGGCAAGACTGGGCAGGTGGGAGGGCGGGAGGGGCGCACCTTGGCGGACGGGGGGGGCACCTTGGCGGGCGGGTGGGTGGGCGCACCTTGGCGGGCGGGTGGGTGGGCGCACCTTGGCGGGCGGGTGGGTGGGCGCACCTTGGCGGGCGGGTGGGTGGGCGCACCTTGGCGGGCGGGTGGGTGGGCGCACCTTGGCGGGCGGAGGGGCGCACCTTGGCGGGCAGGGGGGCGCACCTTGGCGGGCGGAGGGGCGCACCTTGGCGGGTAGGGGGGCGCACCTTGGCGGGCTCGCCGTTGAAGTTGGGCTCTGCCAGGTGCCGCTCCATCTCCTCCAGGTCCCACTTTATCGGCTCCTGCCCCTGCTCGCACACGCCCCCGCCGCCGCCGCCGCCGCCGCCGCCGCCGGGCATGGAAGGAATGCGCACCACGCACGCAAGGCACGCAATACACGCAATGCACGGAATGCATGGATTGCGCAGAGAGAATGGGGGATTGTGTGGGTGAGGAGTTGGCACGCACGCACACGCAGTGATTGGCGTGGAATGGAGGTGAATTTGATGGCAGTTGCAGCGAGTGAGCGAGCACGGCTTCCGAAGGTCGCAGTGTCGCATGACGAGTTGAAACAACACAAAAACTTCACACAACGAGGCGGCTCGGAAGGGCGGGGTCGCAGTGAGGGAACAGGGGAAAATGGGAGGAGGGTAGAGAGGGTAGAGAGGGACGCACCATGAGTAATATCTCGTCCGCCCAGTCGTCTGCGATGCGACGTGCGATGCATGCGACACACAAAACACATGCGCGGGAGCAATGGGCGGGAAAAGATTGTTAGGGGATAAACGGGTGCGGAAAAAGTGGATATGGAACTTTGGACAATGGGTAGGACAATGGGGCCGAGGAGGAAGCATTGCTTGAACGTAAATTCTGCCTGAAAGAAATGGGGGACAAGAGCGTCTAGAATAGATAGGGCGTGCGGCAAAAACGGCCGGGTTTCGTATCGTACAGTGTTGGACAGTGAGCAGTCGCTCGACGGATGACGATATCGCCATCAGGCAAACGGTTGTCGCATGAACCTGCTGCTACTTGTCAGCGTCGCACACGGTTCGTAACGCCGAGAAGGGCTAATTTGTTCAGAGTCGAGTCTTCGTGTCGTTCGCTGTTCGACAAAAAATACGACAGCACTGATAGAGACGGCTAGAGCAAAGAAACGCAATCGAGGATTATGCGGACACGCTAAGAGGGCTAACCAAGGGGGTTCAATTAATGTAATATATAAGCGCAGTGACGTTCTTCGCACCCATGTATCATCGGCAGGGCTCGAAATCTACTAACTGAGGCGGTAAGAATAAACGGAGTGGATATAGACTGAGGTTGCACGATTGCAAGATTCCAGACCAGGGGATGAATGTCCAGCAATGGAAAATGGAGCCTCTACGTATCACTCCTACCTACCTAGAAAATGCCGCACATGAATGGCGACGATGTAAGGGGGGCATACGCGTTATCACAAAACCCAGCACGGCAGAAACTCGTGAGGAGCTGTGTTCTGCTTGCGGATGGGTGTGTACACAATAGAGCGCTCTGCAGTTGTGCACGTGAAACGTCGACTGGCCAATCAGACAAAAGCACTCTATGGTGCGCACTGTACCCTTGCTACCTTGTCAAAAATGCGTCACCATCGCGTCACCCCCAGCAGTATCCACGTGAGCTACAAAGCCATGTTTCCTGAAAGATGTGGTGCAGAATCCAACAGCTGACTAACCAGCAATGCTGTAAGAGAAAATGAATACTTCTTACATAAAATCTCCATATAATAATAAGTCACATGCTAAAAAGGCAACTGACTGCGTATAAATGGAGCATGGAACAATTTCTCCACGCTACCATGACTTTGTGCAGAACAATTATGAAGCACAGCTATACCCTTGCTACCTCCGCGTGCTTGCCATCCACACACCTATGGTCGACGTGAAGCTCCCCTAAAATTTCATGCACTGCTGTCTGTCGCTATAGTGTAATTGCTTGGTGGTCCTAACACCTAATAGCCAGCTCGAATACTGTGCAGTCTGTCAGGCGAGCACCACATGACATAAGCATTAACGAATGTGAGACCGCAGCAACGAGCAGCGTGCAGAGGCAACACCGTCTTCATCACATGCCGCAACACCCCCTCCTCCTCCCCCAATGCGCCTCTCACATCCTCTTCCCCCACCCTTCCCTCCCTTCTTATCTCCATCGGGGTCCCCAAATGCATTCCAGAATCGCAGCGTCTCATCAGCAGCAGCTGAGACCACTGTGTACCCATCCGGACTCTGGCAAGAGGTGAGCGAGTGCCCAGTGAGAGAAAGGGAGAGAGATATGACGAGTTATATGCCAGCTCAGGTGCTACTACAACCTTCTTGGACAATTTCGGTGATACATACACAACAGTCTGATTTTTCCAGCAACTGAAACATGGTGGGGGTTGAGTTTCATCTGCAGAACTAAGTGGTTGGCAAGTGGCAGTTACCTGGGCAAGGTGCAGCACGCGAGCGGTATGGCCGGTGAACTCAGCGAGTTTGGCCATGGAGGGGTAGCGCCAGAGGCACAGCTGGTTCAGGCTGTACCCGTGCGACGACAGGATCTCCTTCTCATGCCGACTCCACTCCAGCGCACACACCTGCCACGCGCAGCAAGGAGAGCGCACACACAGGCGTGAGGAGAAGGCGAGGGGGAAGATGGGAGGGGAGGGTGGGGAGGGGGAGGAGGAGGGAAGAGAGGGGAGTGTTTAAGAGTTGAAGCAAGTGGCTTGGAGCTAGGCAAGAGGGGGGGGTGGGGGAGAGGGGGAGGGGGGGAGAAGACAGATAACAGCAAGGTGGTTGAGAATGCTAGGATGTGGTGGTGTGATATTACCAGGGAGGAGAGTGGGCGGGAAGAATATAGCGGGTGTAGAGAGCGGAGAAACAGCCATGGGAAGAGAAACATACGAGCGGAAGAGCAGCAGTGCAGGAGGAGAGAGGGGAGGAGGGGAGGAGGGGGGGGGGGGGGGGGGGGGGGAGGGTGGGAGGGGTGGGTATAGACCTGTGAGTGGGTGTCGATGGAGTGGGTGAGCGCCCCTGTCTGTGTGTTCCAGAACTTGATGCACCGGTCTGCTGTGCCCCCGCCTGATGCCAGCAGGTGGCTCTGGAAGGGACACCACGCCAGCGCCTTCACCGCCGCCTGGTGCGCTGTCAGCCGGTGCAGGTAGCGCACTGTGGGGGGGAAAGGGGGGACCGAGAGCAGTGAGCAGTGAGGACACGGGGAGTGCAGGGGGGAAAGCGGTGCGAATGTGGGGGATCGTTGGGGAGAGTCGGGCGGAACAGGGGAGCATTGTGGGGAGAAGCAGGGAAAAGGGTCACGAGGGGGGGAGCAGGAGGGAGGAGAACGTGGGAGGGCTAGCGCCATGGTAGGAACATGGATACATGGAGGGGGACGTAGAGTAGAGCAGTGGTGGGGTGGAAGGACAGACGGAGAGTTAGCCGTTATGTGGTGATGGGGAAACGCTGCAACGGGAGCGGTGATGCGTACCGTTGTTGGGAGACGCCCTGCTTCTGTGCGAGGAGAGGGACGGTGCTAACGAGGATGCGCGGGGGGAGGAGGAGGCGGAGGGGGAGGAGGACAGGGATGGCGGCGGAGGCGATGAGGATGAGGTGGTTAGAGACAGAAACGAATGACCCGCAGCAGCAGCAGCAGCTGCTGCAGCAGTGCCAGCGCCACCTGTTGCTGCATGGGCAGAATCAGCGGCAGGAGCGGTGGCAGTTGTGGCAGCAGGCATGGTGGGGTGAGACGGCGCGAATGAGAGAGAGGAATGCGGAGAGGCGAAAGGAGAGGCGTAGGGCGACGGGGAGGAGGCGAGGAGGGAAGCGAGAGATGCGGCGGATGGGAGGGAGGAGGAGGAGGAGGAGGAGGAGGCGAGAGACGCTATGAGAGACGAGCCGGTGAATGGAGAAGCGGCAGCGGCGGCTGTGGCGGAGGAAAATGAGGCGAAGGGGGAGAAAGAAGCGGAGGAATGGAGTAGCGGAGGTAAGGAGGAGGAGGAGGCGGAGAGGGAGGAGAGCGAGGAGGAGAAAGAGGAGGAGAGGGAGGAATGGAAAGAGGAATTTCCTGAGGTAGGGAAGGACGAGGAGGAGGAGAAAGAGGAGGTGGAGGAGGAGGAAATGGCAGCGTTGTCCCAGATGTAGAGAAGGTTGTCGTTGCCGCCGCTCGCCAGGTGCTGCCCGGAGCGCGACCACTTGAGTCCGCACACCTCCTGCTCGTGCGCGCGCAATGCGCTCACCACGTGGTCGCGCACCCGCACTGCCGCGCGAGGGGGCAGAATTGAGGGAAGAAGGATAAGGACAAAGCGGGAGGGAAGCGCGGAGAGCCAAGCCCAGGCATCGCTGGACGGACTGATCTGTTACGCAGGATCATCTGTTGAGCGGACGGCACTCACCATCGTGGTTGAGAATGCTGCTATCGCGGCTCCCCGACGACAGCGTGTGGCCGTTCCACGCGAGGCTGCCCACGCGCGCGCGGTGCCCCTGCAGCCGCCGCACTTGCCGCAAGCGACTCGCATCCCAGATCTGCAGTTCGCTGCTGTTCAACCCCACGGCCAGGTGCCGCCCGTCCTTGGCCCACGCGACGCTCGTGACGTAGTCGTCGGGCCCGTCCGCGTGCACGAGCTGGTGTATGTCGCCCGACGTCGCAGACCAGAGGTACACCGTCGTGCCGAGCGCGACGGCGATCTGATTCTGCGACGACCAGTCGAGCAGGTTGAGATAGTAGTCGTCGACTATCTCCGGCGCGTCGAGTATGCGCTCCGACGCCTGCCGGGAGGGGAGGGGCAGGGGGAGAGGGGGAAGCGGGGAGAGGGGTGGGAAGTGGGAGAGAGGTTGGGGGGAGGGGATACGCGAGAGATGGGAGAGATGGGGGAGACGCAAGGACACGGAGTTGGCGAATGACGAACAGAAGGAGGAAACGATGATGGCGGAGAGATGGAATCGAAGAGCAACGGGTCAAAACATTGAGACGTCTCAAACTCACAGTTTGAAAAACAGTGTTAGAGAGATCGGGGAAAACGAAGGGCGGGCGGAATGCACGCGACTGACAGACATACTGACTGACAGACGGATCGATGACGGATATAGAATCAGCCGCCCGATACTCACGAGGGATATTTGTCTTAATCTCCTCGCCAGTGTGCTGGAGGGCGACTCGGGGAGAAGCACGGGACCCAGAAGTGGAAGATTCGTCGCGCGTTCCGTGAGCAAGCTGGTGCTGCTGCCGCCGCCCGAATCCGAACCGAAAAACGCAAAGATCTTCCGCCCAACCGGGGAACCCTCCCCCGAGTCTTCACTACCTAACCCCGCTCCGCCAGCACCCCTGCCGCTTGCGCTTCCGCTTCCGCACATACTCCCCCCGCCACTTCCCCCGCATCTTCCCGCGCCCCCCGCGCTCTTGACCCGATGAGAGGGGCTTTTTCCCGGGCTAGGCGACAAGAAACTTTCTGCTAGCTTCTTCTTATAATTCTCTTTAAGCGGCGAGACCACCGCCGATGCTGCTGCGGACGGGGACTGCTGCTGTTGATGCTGCTGCTGCTGCTGCTGCGGGGGCGGGGTGAAAAGCTCGAGCTGCCCCGCCTGCCCCTGGAGCGGCAAGCGCGGCTCGTCGACGAGGTGAAAGTGCGCAACGCCCAGGTCCATGGCGCCACGGTTTGGGATGAAACGGTCTCCGCCTCGCGACTTCGCCGGGGCGGACTGGTGGGGAATTGGCGGGGGAGGGAGCGCGGGATGGGAGGTGGGGGGGAAGGGGAAGAATTGGTCGTTGATTACTGGTGATGTCGTAGATCTGCGAACCATTCGCATACAAAACTCAGCCTATTTAGATAAGAACTCAGCGTGCAACGGTTGTGTGGGTGTGAGATAACATGCCCAACTTCGCGTACGGCCGCGCACTCGCTACGACGGCCAAAAGCAGCACGGCCCGCACCGTATGCACCAAAAACGGCTTAGCGGGCTGTAGGCAGACATCTTAGCCACAGCGGAATTTGTTGAATACCTCCCCAACATAATAATCGAAATGAACATTGGAGTATGTTCGAGGGGAGATGATACGCGGGAGGATTGAAAGAGGTCGCTTGTAAGGGCCTGTGGTTAATCTTCGAGCAGTACTGCAGGATTCGCGGAAACGGCATATTCAGATTCTCGTTATTTTCTCTAAGCAGCTGAGGACCGAAAGAATTACACTAGGCGTGAGTCGCAGCGGCGAGCGACGCTTCGATGGCGACGGGGACGCGAACAGCTGCTCCGCTGACGACGGCGTCGCCAAGCTCGCTTGCGACGCTGCCGTCGGCTCGTCGCCCGCCCGTCGCTTCCACAACCTCCCCTCTCCTGGCGACCGGATTTCAGCACCTGCATCGCCAGCGCGACGGTAATCTGCAACTCCAGCCACGGCGGTAGAAAAACCGTCGCTTCCGTTTCCGTTTCCGTCACCGTTACCGTTACCGTTGCCTCGACCGATAACACTGCCATAGTCCCCTGGCAATCCCTGGTCAGGAATATAGTGGCTCTGTGCAGCGGGGAAGATGGAAAAATCTGTCGCCACCAACCCGCCTGCACCGCCGACAGCCATGATTCCTCCTGCTGCTCTCACGGACTGTTCTAACCCCCTCCCTTCCCGCGTATTATTCTGGTGGTGCGAGCAAACGGAGGGAAGAAGGGTGAAATGGTCAGTGGCGATAAGTGCGATAAACGAGCGCATGCAACTATCGGGCCGGTCTAATCGACATCTCGTAAACCTGACGCACGGTGAAGAGGAGCGTGTGTAACTTCACGGGAGGAGTTGCGTCTAAGCCTTTCGGTAGCTTACTATCTGTCACTGGGAAAAGGGCCGCGCATAGTTGCCACAGAGAAACCTTAGACACGAGGATGACTCGGGACCGCGGGGCGATTTCGCGAGGATGCCACCGATGGAAGCCACAAGGTGGGAGTAGGGAGGGATTCCTCGTGCGATGCAGGGAGTTGGCGTTGTGTCTACTGAGGATGATCTGCTAGGACGGTATCGTGCCTGCATGCAATGAAATGAAAATGGAACCGTTCATGTGACGCGCGCCATCCAAGCTCCAGCCCCACAGCAGAGAGGAAACGCGGGCTGGTTTGTTATTTTCTAGTGGCTGTATCCCATTTCGGTGTTTTGTAGCCCAGTCATGCGACGGTCCACTCCGCTCCGCTTCCCATACACAATATTTAGCTACCAGCCCGAAATGACTGGATGCATTTACCCAGTCTACCAAGCTGAGCCGAATTCGACGCACGCGCTCGACTCTACAGGGTGGTTATTCACACAGCTGCCTAAGTAATGACTTACTGACTTATGCAACTGTGTCAGAATGACCTTAAGCATCTCGGTGGAACCCTCTTATAATTCAGTGTTGCCAGGTTTATGCCCTAAATCCCGATATTTCTTGCCAACAAGGGACCCCTCAACGGAGAGAGGGTCAGGAAACACAAATTCGAAGGTTGGGAAGGCGTCGTGAATTCCTCTGGGATCTGTTTCGTTGGGTCGTCATCAAACATTTCATGGCTTCCACATTCCAGCATTGCGTTGACGGCAACAGAGCGCGATGAGCATTTCGCCAATTTCTGTCTCGCTAGGGCAAGCCATGCAGTGCGGTCAACCACGAATGGGTGTGTTGGGTTCTCCAAGTCTGCCCAGTCACTGACGCACGCGTCGACATACAGACACATGCGGCTAGGAAATGTTGAATTGAGCAACCCGACGGGATGTGGGGCAGGCTGAGGAAGGATTGGATGGAGGTCCAAAAAACCCTACCTTCATCTATTTTTTGGGTGTGACACGCTACCAGCACCAGCACTGTGGACTACCCGCTACGCGTGCGTGAACGTTCTCGCCAGTGCAAAATTGATGAGAGTCGCGGGGCTCTTTGAATTCGAAACTTCGACGGCCTACCTGACTTTGCAAAATATTTAGGTAAAATATCCGAAACGCCAGAAAACAAAAGGGTGACGTAGCGTTTAGGCGTGTAACCACCAAGTCGATGCGCGGATTGGTATCGCGGTTCGCAACGTTGTCCAAAATTTCCATGCTTACAAACGACTCGCCAAGGGGTCCTGGCGGGAATCCCAACATGGGCCGTCTTCTTACCCTCCAATCTTCGTTTTTGGACGTGCTGTTCCATTGGGTATAAACTTACATCCTTTCAAAACAAACATCACGCTAAGTTGACAACATATAGTAATGTTTCTCATTGTAACGAAACATATTATCATAACGTATATACCCTCTGATCCTAAATTATCATCTATCGGTTTTTTCTATGAAAAATATAACAAAGGTATCAAACTTCATAAAAAAAATGACGTTGTTGAGAAAACAAAATGAAGATTGATATATATTTCATTAGCTGTATAATATAGAAATTTCATCATGGTATAGTATTTGCCCGATATATTATACACTGTACCCACTCGATATCGCCATAATCTTTGCAGTTTTGAATATTTTTGTGACAATTCGCATGAGACTATAGTATTTTTACCCGTTAGGTCAGCAAAGGCGCCCTATTGAGCCTCATTCAGCCAGTAGGTACTTATATGTGTTATTCTTGAAACAATGGCATACGATCGGTTTTGATGTTTTCTAGGTGTTATACAGCCTATAGCGTAGGTGACATGTAGAGCCTCTTAACAGCGTATATGGAAGGGTGTTGTGTCGCATAGCGTGGATGCCTTGTATCCCAGTCCAGTCAATCTCCAAATCGACCAAGTCGGAACCACTTTCAGCTTGGCAGATCAGAACTGCTTGGGCCATATACTTCGACACTGTACCAAACACTTCCATTGCATTGATTGAAATGTTGCATTGCATTGAAACCGGAACTCTCCTCACAAGACATACTCAACTGGAGATCCAGCAAACAGCAGACCATTGGTCTATTTTGTTACGACAATATGAGGCCACGATCAAGCCACCTCAACCATACGATCCTTGTGGCAGTTTTGAAAGCTGCCTTGAAAACCGAAAATCGTGCCGAGTCTGAGCGTTGCCATTCTGCCACCCAGTTTGATAAGGACTGCTAGCGTGGAATTTCGGAATGCTCAACTGTAGCCCGTTTCGGAAGATGGGAGGGAGGGAGGGAGGTCCAGAACATTTCGAAACTGACCAGCTGAGCGAAGCCGAACCGACAAAGCGTTACGGTTTAGATCCTCGCCGCACTAATCAGTACCATCTCGACCAACGCACACCAGGTCTCACCGCAAGGCTAGAATTTCGAATCTAATCGATTAGAAGGTACATCAAGTGAAACTGCCCTTACAATAGCCAATAGGTTCTGGCTCTGGTTGCCTATGGAACTTCCACCCCCCTCTCCCACTTAAATCCCCAACCCAGCCTTTCACCAGAGACTCCATCGATTAAATATATACAATCTGTTAAAAAACGCTGTTACTGAAGAGTGTTTTGGAGGTGTGTATTGTTCAGGTCAAACTAAGAGACGACCTTGTGTGATATGGACCTTCAGCTCGTCTTTTCTGGTCTGGTCCCCTCACCTCTGCCTTCCTTGCAATTCAAGCTCCAACGCGTTTCCGCGTCTGCCGCGTGACTTCAGTTGGTTACTGTGCAAATGCTTCCGGGTCGTGTTTTTTCACCCGACTTTTGCACAGAAAGCAAATCAAATGCCGCTCGGTGTATTGTTTGCATCACTTGGCGCAACTACGAGTTGCCTTCACTGCCAGGGGAATTGAACAAGACAAGCGGAATGTGTCAATTGGTTGCTCCCCTGCTCTACATAAACTCAATGGCAGGCAATATTCACTCCAGACGCGACTCGTAATTTCCCGTACCGCGTCGCTCCCTCATTCCTGCTCGGAAGTGTCAGGCAGCAAAACACCAGTTTCACATTTCCACCGTCCCTCCGGTCCTCACAACCAGAGGAAAGTGTAGCAAATTTGGCAAGATTCATCTGTGCCCCATACCGCTCCCTCTTGATTTCATCCCAAATCCCTTTCCCCCACCGACACGGTCCTACATCCAACACTTCCACCCTGTCAGCCAGCCTACTTCAAAGCTGGTTCGACATCTGCAAATCCAACTCGTGCTGCTTTGTCACGCTCTTCGATCGGAAGTGCTTCACGTACCTCTCTTCCTCGCTGACGAACTCTGTAGCATCACCTCGCTGCATTGCGCCTTCCTTCCGTAACACCAACTCTGAGGCGATTCCAAGCCATAATTCCAGCCTGTGCGTGTGGCCACTGGGCGGTACGACGAACTCAACCTCGTCATAGAGCTGGTTTACCAACTCTTCTCTCCGCCAAAAAAAACACTACCCCACGTCGCCCACCTGTCGTCAATCCCAGCAGCACTACTATCACCAGCTGACACATCCTCTCGCTCCCTCTCACCCCGGTCACTAACCGGCGCGCTTGTCACCGCGTGAATCGCAGCGCCGCCGCCGGCGCTCATACCCACAGCGATGGCCTTCTCATCCGTCGTCGTCTTCCTCCCAGACGATTCTTTGGAGCTCTTTGAGCAACCCGGGGATCTTACAGCCGCCTCCGTGCTGCGCCAATATCCTGCCCACCAGCTCCAGCTGCACGTCGGCGCGCGTCGCGCCCTCGTCCCCGCGGATAAGGTTCTCGAACCCGGCAGCACCTACCACGTCGTCCCCGTGAATAGCGCGGAAGCC